AGCTCTGAACTACGAGTATGAAATCCATAACAATCAGTTAACTAACAGTTTCTTGTACTGGTACAGATGGGTAGATGATATCTCAGTTTTTATTTCTGGTACAAATAGGCAATTAGGCAAGTTCGTTGAATATGTCAATTTCATCAACCCGTCAATAAAATTCACCACTGAAAGGGAGGTAAATAATTCAATTAATTACCTTGACTTAACGAAAAATAACAATAAACATGAATTTGTAATTTTCCACGAACCATCTTACACGGACATCTTCACGTGCCGAGCTCTCCGTTCCCTAAACAGTGAGCGCAACAATGCGTGATTGAAACTCAAAATGCCTGACAGTGAGTGATAGTGGTAGTAGTAGGTAGTAGATTTTTTCTAACAGTAATACAAACAAACTAGGCAATAATTTTTAATGTATAATATCAATTCAATTTGTCATATACATACATTCTGATAGTAGGTAACATTGTGTAATGGGTATTTATTAAACAATTATTTGATAAATTTGAATAAATGCACCATAAAATATACTATACAGTTTCTTACTACTATTAAATAACTTTTCTTTGGTGGCTAAAAAACACTGCTATAACGGTTTTGCTGCTGTAAGAAATCTCTCTATCGTAGCAGAAAATGTCTCTCAGTTTACGTACCTCCTTTGTTCATACAAATGATAAATTGAGCGTTCCATGGGATTCACTTGGGCATTGACAAGAGTTTCACATATTTTATCACTTGAAATGGTAGCCGTTAGTGTCGACTTATGGAAATTTTTAGCTTCGCTAGGAGTCAATCATTTACTGAAGTACTTTAAAAATGTATCTTTCGTAGACGAGCTTACTTTCAGACAGCTATAGGCTTCTTCCACCGTAACTCTGTGGCTATGCGTAAAATGCAATTGAAATTTATTAAATTGATTTTGTTGTATTAATATCTTTTCAAAAAAAACTAACTTCTACAATGATGTTTAGGCCCTTCTTGAGCAAGGGATACCTGTATTTTTTTAACCTTAATGAAGATTTTAGGGTCGCAGTTTCTGTTTTTTTCCCTAATGATGTTTGTTTTTCTTTACTCATTTTTAGTATTGTGCTGACATACCCAATCTTTTCGATACTGTAGTTTTTTTTATTTTAGGATATGGTCTGTCTACAATCCACTCTGTGCAAGTAGATTTAGAAAAGTTTTCAATCCAATTTTTTGCGGTAATATCTACATCTCTGTCGATGTTGTTTTTCAGAATAAATTTGTTTTGGTCGATGTCAATTATTCAGATATTACAATCAAACGTGTTTATAGCTTCAGTTACAGTCTCTTCTCCGCCCTGATTCATATTGACAATCCTACTTCCACAAAACAAATTAAATATGTTTGTTCGTGGATGACTCACTGGCACCATAGGAAATGAATAAATATGGTATGTGGATTGCACCGTGCAAAAAAACGCGTGAAATAATGAGGCACGTGGCGTTGCACTGTGTAGGGATCGGAGTGTTTGGCACTCATTACTTTTCCTAGTTCGTCAGCGCAACAAGTAGTGTTCACGGTGTAGGAAACGTAAAAATGCGTACGGGTGTTGGTCGATTGTTTACTGAACCAGTGGACCACACTGCGCATAGTACTCGACGTAAAATGGGCGTAAAATGTCCCGTAAAATGGGCAAAGCGCGCGGTACGTTGCCCGTACAGAACACCCGTTTATATAAAACAATTTCATTACTTGCAAGTGTTTTTGAATGTTATGAATGGACTAAATGAATGACAACTAATTTGACAGATGTAACTTCAACAAGATGGAATTTATCTATTTTCAAAGTTCGAAAGTCCCTGATGTTGGAAGACCCTATAGTTGTATGGATGAAAAATTCCTTTTTCTGTAGCTCCATTTTGATCGATCCATGACTTTTGAAATACGACTAATTTATGTATCGGGTTTTATTCAACATATTTACTATCCGCCATTTTCAAAATGTACTTCAAACTCTCAAATGTTGGAGTTTATCATCACTCAAATAATCCGCAAATATCGATGACTATCCTATGATTGAATCAAGTGCAATCAATATTACTCATTAAATTCAATTATATGTTTCAATTATCAATACCCTCATTTTGAAATATTTTGAAGATCATACGCTTGGGAAAGTTAAAAAACACTGAGATGAGGTTTTTGTGGCTAGCGATGCTGACACGAGGGCTTGAGAGTTTGTCGAGAGATAGAGAGAAGTCAGTCATCGGAGCCGGCCGAGACGAGATCGGGGGTCTCATCCCTCAGCCTTCGAGGTTGAGGGAGTTATAGGGGAGTTATTTTGTTTGTAAGCGCGTGGTGTGAAATTTAAGAAAAATCGGTAGTGAAATCATAAACCGGTAATGGATACAGGGGAGTTTGAATTCAAAGTGTTGGTGTTGAAGACACCGGGTCAACGGAGTCTATGGTTGACCATGAACCACCCAAAGAGGCGTTATGTGAGTGTTTGTTTTTTTACTAACCAGTTGATATTGAGAGAGGGTTCACATATTATTTTGTCTGAGTCCATTTCCTATTCGCAAAGAGGTTATATATTGTTGGGTTTCTAGTGCTGATAGTTTCACTAAAGTTCATATTACAATTACAAAAAAGGGCGAAAATTTGAAGTTATACACCACTCTTCCAAAAGTAAAACTAAAATCATTTTGTACTGAGTTGGTACATGTGTAGTTATTCAACACTTCAAGTCAAAAGTAAATAGCAGGGTCAAATTAGTGGCATTTCCTTTGTCTTATTTTCGTTTATTTTATAGAATTTACCTTCCTCCTTTTATATAAGATTTTACACGTTTTTTTTTTTAATTTTGTCCATAGAGTCGTTTTTCTACTTTTTAACTTTATATTTGAAACCTTGGACTTTTATATTCTCTTGGACTGATAAAAATACCATTCTCGTAGAGTAAGATGACGTTAAGAGAACAAAAACAAATAGGAGACATTTTGTCAATAAACCGAGAAGAGAATAGTGAGTAAAAAGCATTTAAATTAAGATTAAAATTCAGTTCTGGAACCGCATAATGAGAGAGAATATAAGTAGGTATACCAAATGATCAGATTTTAAAAAGACCGCCCTTCGTGCGATTGAAACGAACCCTACAGCCTTTTCGAAATTGCCAAAAATCCAAATTTTGATGTGGAGAAATTTGCATAGTGATAGCGGCTGCCAAAAAATGTTTTAAAAAAGAATAAATAAACCTGAAAGGAGCAATTTATTACATTTTGAATAATTGGCTTATTGCAATCTACAATTCAAAAATTGACAAATAAATGAGAAAAACCCAAAAAACTCTACTTCTTTCGTTCGTTCATTCCATGCTAGTAGTCACACGTTAAAAGGTAAGATCTCGTTAGTTCTTAGCTCGCACAAGTTTCGACGTTTGAGAGTTGTCGATCGTAGGGAAGCCACAGCTGGTTACCGAAAAAACAGATTTGGAGCCGTTCTATTTGAATTACTCTCTTGGTATAATCGTCTGGTGCCAAATGCATTGCCGTAAGCAAGCTCGTATATGTAATGCATATCAGCGAACTCAACATTTGTGTTTGTCGTTTGAAAAGTATAACGTTTTCAAAATTCGAGTTGAGTATACCTACCTTAATAAATATCTGTCAAACTGTTTGGCATCAATTATTTTGTTAGCCGATTGTTTCCTCAATAACAAAGTTCTTCAACTCTTTTTTCAGAAATCATGAGCATATTATGCATTAAATGCTTTTTATTCATTCTATATAGAACCGTTCGAAGGCTGAAAAATATCATCAAAAAAATTAAACACGAGCGAATAATTGTAAGCACGAGACGTCAGCCGAGTGCGATAATTCGCGAGTGGACGTAATTGGTCTTATCCTCGAGGTGCGTACTATACTTTTTCTACGACTAACCGTAGAAAGAAATGGTACAATATATTTATTTGAGATTATGGGTGTGGATAATAAACTCTTTGACTCAGTCAGTCAGAACTCAATTGGATGATTTAAAAATTGTTGACAATATTTCCTACATTATAATTATGTACATATATAGTTACAATNAATATGTTATGTCTTTTAAAAAAATTATAGAACCATTCAACTCCAGGTAATTTGTCTTTAAAAGTTTTTATTTTCTTTCCTTTTCTATCATGGTAATTTTTTACTAAGCATCTCATATCTCTGCGAGTCAATGGAAAGCCCCACTCACCAAATTTGATTATGCCTTCTACTAACAACCTTTCTTCTTCTGCCGAAAATACAGTTTGGCCGCCATGTTTTCCTTCTTTTTTTTTCTTAATTTTATTATGGAGTGTAGATTTAGGAATTTTATAATATTCTGATACTTGTCTCAAACTTTTCTTGCCTTTTTTCACATC